TCGTCATAGAAGCAACACGAGACTTGGGGAAGCCGCGAACAATTTTTTTTTCAGATTTTCTACTTTTGTACGGAATAGCACAGTAAGAGTCACTCAAGTTAAAATAGTATTTTGTTTGCCAGATAAAAAGTTCACATGGTTTTGTTCACGATATAAACTGTCCTTAGATCGTGCAGTTTTGTTTTTGACAGATCGTGGGTAGTCGTCTCTCTAAAAACATGTCGTTTTACATGTCAGGTCATCAAAACAGACGAACGAAAATCACTGTAAAGGTCATCATACGCAGATTATTTTTTTTAAACAAAAGCTGCAGCTTGTTAATACATGGCCTTTACAGATGCATACCACAAATAATGTTTTTTTAAAACGACAATTTATACCATTTTATTAATAATATGTTACCATCGCCTCGAGATCACACATTTCAAGACGACGACTGAACGATAACAATTTTAGAAAACAATATAATTTGTTATTTAGTTCATTGTTGTCACTTTATATTGCCTATTTACATTATGCATTAATTTTAAAGCCCAGAGACTCGTTACCTAATCCTTTTTGAGATATCATTGTTTTTGTAATAAAGTTTGTTGATTTGTTAAAAAACTTTTTCATAAATTATTAAAAAGGCAAATTTATGTAATATATTCACACTATTTCTAGCACCATCATGTTATACATCAAAATAAAGATAATTTTTGCAGGAATATTTTATTTTGGCGTAGTAATTATATAAGTACATGTTAATATGGTTCCATATGAGATGCTTTAGCGCAAGCAATGGTCAAAGGATTACTCAAAGTTGCAATAAGTCTCTCCTTCTTATTTTGATTTTGGTATTTTCACGTATATTCATTTTAAATAGAAATACGTATGAAAATATTAACATCATATAATATCAAATGAAAAGTATTTTAATGTAGAATTATATTCTGCAATAACATAAGAAAGCTATTTCCCTGATCGGTGTTTTCAAATTTGACTTTCACATTAAAATACCTTGATATATCACGTATTTTTGGTAAAATAATTTGGTCATTTGCCAATACGTTGATTTCCGCCATCAACCTCGTTCCACAACATACATTTTTGGAATAGCAAATGTCACACCTAACAATTAAATACGGTGTACCAATTCGCACAGTGGGATACGACACTAATATATTGCGATAACGGACGATATAACTTGTGAATATATGGTGAAGACGGGTCATGTGACGAAATAGGCCTATCCTTATTTGGTGTTGGTCGGTCATGTGATGTACGACTTACCCGTCCAGAAGACTTCACTCCTTTCATAAGACACAAGAATACTACAATCCACGAAAACAACAAACATAGTGCTAGTTTCCATTGTATATTGCCCAAATTGTCGATCCCATCGCTGATATTAAGAACGTTGTTCCTATCAAAAAACAAGCGATGTGTTCATGATAATCATTATTAATATTATGTAATATTGTGTGTATGAACGCTCAGACAGAATTGGATATTAAATGTAACTTTTGCCAGACTAACAATAGAAAACAAAGAAATATTCATTGATATAATAATCTGGCTCGATGATAATACATAATTGATATATTATTATTTGATATAAAACATTAAAACATAATATTTAATAGTCAGTTTATGTGATGAACACGACTTACGACCAGAATTCCTGGGCAGGACTAACCCGTGTTATATTGTTTATCGTATCGTTGATAGTGCTGCCGAGCGTAGAGCAAGCATCGGTATTCCACCAGTTGTCACATCCTGCCCAAGGCACGGTGGACGTGAATGAAGAAAAAAGATAGTACACCGTGTAGCAGATAATAACATTATAGTAAATAGTGGTTATAAATGATATTACAACCATGGCAGCGCCGGCACCTGTAATAAATACAAATATGGTCTGTTACATGTAAACAGTATTGGATGAATATCGGTAGCTAAATTAAATAAACAAATAGCCATAGTGTCAATGACCGACAGGTGAGTGACGTATAATATCATGAAATTGGAACTTTCTCGCATAAACTTGTGTTTTACAATGACAGCCAACTGAAAATCATTACAGATCAACCAATGCTAACGCGCATTTTCAATAAGTATCGCACGGCACTGTCCTGATTAACATTTGTTCGTAAGCAAGACAAATGTCATTTGCATCGTTAAGACACGAATCTTTTAAAAGTACTTCCGTTCCTAAACTGGTGGTCATAAAACCATATTTACGCTGAAGCTAGCAGCTTACCTTTAAACAAAGGACACAGTTTCCAGGCTGTTATTGGTCCCTCACTGCAAAACTGTCCCCATGCTACCTCCATGAAAAATAATGTCATGCCACAAAGCAACATGGCGGTAAGATACGGGATGAGAAATGCACCTATCAATACACAAAACATGTATATATATATAAGTATGAGTTATTTGATGAAATGTCATACGAACTGTGGTACACGTACCATGGTCACGTGATTCAACAGGTGGTTTCCTGTCGATAAGCTTTACGTTTCAACTGTAAAGTAAATCGTACAGTCCAACTTGAACAAGTGTATATTATAACACCAAATTACAGTCCATTATGCCACTTAACTCAGGATACAAGTTAGTACGAAATACCTAGAAAAACAATTATAATCATTACGCTGCCTAAACACAAAATTATAACTGGCTAATCAATGTAATCATAATAATATTGTATCGTCGGTATTCATATTGACATAAGAAAATCAAGTGTTGCAATATAAATCACTATACTGACCCCCGCCATTCCGGTAACACAGTGCAGGAAACCGCCACAAATTGCCCAAACCAACAGCATATCCTATCAAGGACAATATAAAATCCAACTTTCCTGTCCAATTACCACGCTCTGTGTTTTCGGCTCCTTCAGTTCCCATGGAATCGTACATTTCTGTGTCCACCTATTTAGTATACGAACACGCTGCAATTACTGTGCGCACGTGCAATATCCCGAAGTAAAAGTTACAAAAAAGTTCTCTCTGTAGGAGTGTCTGGAGATCATAAAAACCTATATGACATATCTGTACGTTTAAAACACCAACAATGGGAGTCCCTGCACCAAACCCGCCCCTGGTCCTTGCCCAGACGTTTTATACACTACGTTGTCGGCATGCATTAGTCCAAGTCGATTGTGTTTAGTGACAGTGTGTTTTAAATTTCTTTCAAGTTTATTGTATGATGTGACAACATTTATAATATTATGTAGATTGTGTCACGTGATGTGTTCACCCGTCCAATTAGGTATGATAAAACCTTATTTACATATTGTGTGTTATTTCACCGTGAAATCATCAGTTTAACAGAGGGTGGTCAAGCTATTAGAGTAAATGATACCACAACGTTTCAACGATCTTCATAATACTCCTTAAAGCTGAAACATGACATCATTTTGTTGTTGTGAATATCATAATTGTCCGGCATCATTCTACTTGTCATTACCAGAGGCCGTGGTGTTTTCGTCGGGCGTGACGTTTCTTTAAAATTCTCTAAACATGGAAAGTCAAATTGATCTCTGACAATTAGAAGTGTAGTACAATTTCTGCCCTATTCAGATGCAAGTGGCAGTATTGAGACCCACTGTGTGATGAAGTGAGGGTAACTCTGAACATGACCTAGTCTTTTCGTATGTTATGCATTTGTA